GCAGGGGTGTTCAAGTGGTTCCTGTGCCGCTTTTTGGGGGCCCTAACGAGAGCTCACAGTTCGATCGGTGCCGCGTGAGAAATCACCGACCGCATCCAGGAGGGTGCCTGCAAGCGTGGATTTTTGCCCATCTGCTTCCTAAGGGTTCCCGTTTATTTTTTTTATTTGTGTGGGAGGAGAGGCTGGGGCGAGGTAGCCGGCTATCATCCGCGCGAGAAGCTGCTGCGAGGGGAAGCGGAAAAGGAACTGCTTGAACCTTTTTTTCCAACCTCTTCTGTCTCCCTGAGAGTGGGCTGACACAGCGGCAGTTGGCCCGCTCGTTATCCCCAAACCTCTGCACAGTTTTATAGCCATCAAAGAATGCAACGAGCATTGGCAATTCCAACGTGCCGAGAGCAGTGCCAAATGTAAACCTGACTGGGCAAAATTAATATGCATAATAACTTTAATTACCCGAGGAAGTATGGTTTTTCACAGAAGCCCCTGCCTCTTCCCGTGCCAGTGCTCCATAGTGTTCAGTGAAAAGGCAGCTGGTCTGTTTTCTCTTTGTAGCCTCCATATTATACCCTGAATGATTTGTTCCTCTTACGGAACGATTATTTAATGCTGGCTTTCTTAGAGATGGTCATCATTAACATATTTGAGTACTTCACGTTATCACCGGGAGGCGAGAGGCTTTTTGTATGCATATACTTTATAAATTTCTGAACTTTATAAATTCATATAATTTATAAATTTCATATATATATATGAATATATATAGACATTATATATATATAGCATCTATTACTTCATATATGAATGACATATTTGTATGACTATGTTACCAATAAGTATTTTTATAGATACGGTTTACTTTAATATTGTGCATAATTAATATTTCTTAATTATATAGGTATTTTATAGGTAGGGAACTGAATTGGGTCATCCAGTTTGCTAAGTTTGGCATGTCCTTACTAATTGTGTTTAGCATTATAAATCACATCTTGGTCTAAGCATGGCTCTGGCTGACATAATCTATGCTGCTCAGTGGTCAATATTCCCACAGCCAAAGCAAAATGGGTCCAGAGTTTGTGAGCATTTATCATAAAATGCTATATTTCGCTGTACGTAGGGATTAGCCAGGCAGAAGAAAACACCTTTTCTCCAAAGCAGGCTGAGTTGGCCCTTCTCATTTGCCGTGTGGTGCTCTCCAGGCCTCCTTTGTAACGCTGTGACAGCCTGCAATGCCTTTGGAGGTATCTGTGAATATATCGTATAGCTTTGCTTACTTGGGTGACTTGAGATCTGCGCCCTTCAACCACCACACCTCTGAATACAGTTTCCCTGCCTTGCCCCAAGGTGAACCTTCCAAACCGTCTCTCCCTGGCAATAGTCCCCCCCTTGACCTCCTGAGAGCAGAGGGGGTGGTATGAGCGACCCGGTACCTGGGGACGAGGAGCACTTTTCTTTCCCTCTTTCTTTTCGTTTGGTCCGGGGGATGATCCTAGAGAAAGGGCTCCTCCAGGGTCGTCAGGCAGACCACCTTTACAGCTCCCCGGGGGAACTGAGCTGATACAGGATTATCCCCCTGTGCGTTAGTCACACGGCTGAAGAGGTTTATTTCCGAGGAAGCCTTTGCTCTCACAGCGTATTCGAAGCCCTGGTTTGTGTTTACCACCCCAGAAATGACCTCCTGGCCTCCCTATTAACAGATAGGAGCAATCTTGGACCCACTTAAGGAGTAGGTCCATACCGAAATCAATTGCTTGATGTCTCATGTTCTGAACGAGCTGATTTCGGGTTTTAATTGTTTAATCCATGGGACAGAACAGCTTGCCACCACTCTGCAGACTGCCTCTGGACTTCAGATCGTCCGGCCAGCATTATTTCTCCACAGGGCAGGCCTGGGCATCAGGTACACAGGGGAGGACCTAAATGATGTTCCCTGTTGTTGGTTATTATTTTGATTTTGCATTCATATTACCTCATAACATGTTGGTAAACAAGTTGTTCTACAGTCTGGACAGGGTGACCAGCCTGCTGGGTGACAGACAGGTTTGTTTGAATTTCTTCTTTTCAAGATGCTGTCGGAGGTATTTTCCACAACCTCAGATCAAGTCTTTTACAACTCCGTCCAAAGTCATTGCTGTGTAGAAAGCTTCAAAAGAGAATGCTGGGAAACTGGCTTCCCAAGTAATTTTGAGCAACCTTTTTCGACAGCTTTGCACACCTTCCTGAGAACGCAAGGTAACTTGCCAAAAATGGAGGAGACACTGGAGGGGGCTCATATTGAATCACTTTCTTTTCAAATAATATATTACTTAGCAGACCAGAGCAAGCCTCTGTGGCTGGTTTTAACTCTTATCTACAAAATAGTCAGAAAATGTTGGGTCAAAAAGCCAACCTTGTTCTAAATCAGAGACACACCACAGATACTGGTGTATTTTCTTTGCCCCTCGCTGCCTCCATTCCCTCCTGTCCGCTCTTCCAGGGATTATCTCTGCCCACTGCTATCGCTGATAACATTAGTTTAGCAGTTTTCAGTGACTTGGAGTTCATAGATTTATTTGCAAAATTTACTATATGGAAAGTCTTCCAAACTGGCAGTCGAGTTTTCGCTTGCCTCGGGAAGATGGCAGGCTGGACGGTCAGCTGCTCTCTCTGCGGAATATGCTCTCCGGGTGAGAAATTCTGTAAGTAATGGAGAAGCTCTTTAAATGAACCAAATGACAATATGTATTCGTAATTCTACCTGTGATAATTTAAAAGGAATAATTCCCATTTCTTACAAATCTTTTCTGCCCTACTTTATGGCTGAAGTCGCTGAGCAGCTCTGTTGCTTGTTTAATTTTCCCAAAGAGGGCTCCAAGGAAGAGGAGGGGGGGGGGGGGGAACACCTGTAATTTTCCTGAAGACCTGCAAACCAGTCCAAGCCCCTTTCCTTGGGGTTCAGAAGAGATGCAGATACCTGTGAGAGGGCGTCACCTCTGTGTGTCACACAGAGAGGTGTTTTCTGGAGCTGCCTAACCCACGCCGGGGAATGTTTCCTCGCCGCTTTGGGCACGGCTGAGACACCCAGCAGCTCGCTGGCTCTGAGAGACACCATCTCACCCCTTCCCATCCCCGATCCCCCGCACGGGCTCCAGCGATTCTGTCCAGCTCATTCAACTGGTGGAATAACTAATCCAGCAAAATGCCAGGTTTGCTGGGAGCAAGCGGGAATGCACGGGCAGGAGGGAGGAACTCGACTGCCCTTTCCAGCTTCTTGCCCACCTGTGGTCTCCGGCTATCTAACCAAACTGTGGAGAGTTAAGTCATGAGGCACAATGAGCAGACCTAGCTAAACCAGGCTGCACTGCATGAATTACAGAAAAAAAAAAAAAAAAAAAAAAAAAAAAGAGAAGGCTTCGGTTCAGTCCATCTGCAAATTGGCATATCCTGCATAGAGGGTCCTGACAACTTCTGAAATTTTCCTGCTGAAATGTAGATGTTTAAAAAAGAAATACCCTCAAAGGATGATGCATATCTGTATGGCATTTTTCTATTCAAGGTGGTTTTTTATCAGCTGCTCCAGTACCTGTCCCTTAGCAGGACAGCATGAGCATTCAGGACTATTAAGAAAAAAGCATTCGATGAAGGGGCCCAGTGAGGATTTCTGTCAAGGCTTAAGGAACAGTTTTCACTGGCATAAAACCCCCCCGAATGAATAATACATAGTGACACAGGGAGCCAATTACATGTAATTCCGTTTTCTCACCTGAAAAACCTTCCACGGAGTTGCTGGTCTCTTCCTTGCAACACAATCACTCTCCAGAGATGAGAGCACAGTACCGTTCCAGGGAACGTCGGGAAGCGCTTGGGATTTCACTTTCCACCGTATGAAATCCCTGCTGGTTACTGCACAAGTCAGTCGGCCCGTCGGGCTGGGTGCTTTCCAGGCAGCGAGACACCAGCTGCTGTCACGCCAGAGCTCGCAGGGCACCAAGGCAAGCGGTGGCCTCGGAGGCAGACGCAGCCCCCCGCCTGCTTGAGTTGACCAGGAGCAAGCTGAAGTACAGCTGGTACCGCTTGGTATTTCATAGTTATGGGTCTCTTGGAAAAAAAAAAAAAAAAAAAAAAAAAAAAAAAAAAAAAACACCACAAAAAAAAACAAAAAACAAAAAAACAAAAAAACAAAAAAACAAAAAAAAAACAAACAAACAAAAAAAAAAACACAAAAAAAAACAACAAACCAACCGGAAAAAAAAAACCAACCAACCAACCAAAAAAAAAAAAAAAAAAAAAACCAACAAAAAACACAAACAAAAAAACCCCAACAAACAACAAAACATAAATCAAACCACTCTATCTGTGCTGTAAATCCAACAGAAATTAAATCCTCCTCAGTGGCAGCAGCTCGAGGGGGACGGGCGGCTGGAGGGCAGCCAGGCGTGCCTCCTTCCCTGCTATGCTCCGTTTGCCACAGAAGCGTGTTCTGCAGGAGCTTTGCCCACTGCAACCTTCACATCCTTCAGACAGACACGCAAAAAAAAAAAAAAAAAAAAAAAAAAAAGCAAGGGAGAGGCTCAGCACTTTGGGTGAAGGTGGTGATGAAGAGGAGGCCTAAGACAGCGGGGGAGGCAGGCAGTGAGGAGGCAGAGCCCCCTGTGCCTGTTCTTGCCAACCTAACGAGCGCAAAGCTCGACACAAACGCACGAAACGGGGCCCCACTGTCCCTGGGGGTGCCGGGGGGGCTGCCTGCTTGCAGGGGAGCAAGGTGGCCAAGGGCCATCAGAGCGACGGCTTCTCTTTCCACCCAGATGGCCAGCCGGACCCCGATGTCGGGACAGACGTAGTGGCTTGCTTTTACGCCTAGGGAAAAATTCACGAGGAGTGGAAGTTACCCCACAATAGCTCCTTCCAGGGAAAACCAAACTGCTTTCAGATGGGGCTGATTGGTGAAAGCGGGTGGGCTTTTTGAACTACTGAAAAGCGAAAGGCAGAATCCCCAAACCACTCTGAAGAATAAGGTCACCAAAGAAGTTTAACAGCTTGTGCCTCTTTTAATGGAAATACCACGTGTTTATACACATTAAAGTACAAAGGGTTAGAAAACAGGCTTCATCTTCAGCCCCTAACTCTAACATACTGTACATTAATCCCTGAGAGCACCTGTCAAGTGTATGTCTCCTGCAAGCGATACCCAGAGTGCAAATTCAAGTGTTCACCTGCAGCACAGGGTGCTTTTCAGATACTGAATCTGAATGCTCAATCTTCAGTACGCTGGGTTGGCAGCAAACGAAAATTAATAGCTAAACCATTCCATCCAGTGTACTAATTCAAAGTCCACCCTGATGTCTTTGCCACAGAGATAAAAGATTGTCTTCCTACTCTCCAAAGAAAGAAGTTCAGCTTATATTCTAGTCACACTAAATCCATTGCAAAATTGGTGCCTATGAATTCCACAGCACTGATGCACTGGCAGACTAAAATCCTCTTTATATCCGCAGGGCCGGAGAGGTTTATTAGCAGGGTGTCTGTTCCTCCAACTCTGACCTGGGAAGCTAGCTGGCAAGGCAGGCCAACAAGCCGTACAGAGAACAGGCTGTGTGGAAAAATCCCTGTTTCACACGTCTGCCACAAGCCCTGTCAAGCCCCGACCCCGCAGGCTCTAGCTAGCGATACCAACCTGCGCACTAGTTTTCAATCAACCGAATTTATTTCTCCCACGACACGCACAGTTTCATTACAAGTTCAGGGAGAATGTGGCCACTCCTTGCGCCGTGGGAGTAAAGGATGGGAAAGTTTTCCCCCGCTTTAATTGAGGGAAGAAGCTGGTGACAGCAGCAGCTGTGGTCTGCCCAGGCTCCAGCAGAGCCTCGCCGTCAGGAGGGCACACCACAGCACATTTAATTTCGAACGGGAGCAGAGCCTGAGCAAAAAACACAGCCTGAGCATGCGCTGCGTGACCTGCCGCTTGCTTTTGACCTTTACTTTTATGAATGTGGTCTTTCTTCAGCAAGCAGCAGGTTTACAGCCCTCCTTTATCCGAATTTGCCAGGGTTTGGCATGCCGTGCAGCCTGACTGCTGGTAAAAACAGATGAGGCCGTAACCTTAACCTGCGGGAACTGACATTCTGAGATGCACTGCTATACTAGGGAAGTTTTTCTGCCAGCGTTGGGACAGGGGGGTGAGGTACTGCCCTCTCCGGGCACCCAGGGGTGTACTACCCAAGCTCACAATGACATCTGGCCACGCTTTCTAAACTTGAGTGGCTGAGCTGCCTGGTCCTGCATCTCCGACGGGCTGTTCATAGCGTACGACCAGTCGTGATACCTGGGAAAACTGCTTGAACTTCTGGAAGCTGCAGAATTTTCCTGTCCTGGCTGTAATCTGAAAAAGCTCCCAATAAACCTGGTAGGTTTTGTTTTGTTTTTTTTTTTTTTTTTTTAAGAGGAACTTAAATATCAACCTAAAAGAAGCCCACCTGTGGCTCACCATCTCCCTTATTTCACAGTTGAACACAATGACAAAAAATTCCCTGAGACTACAGAGGACACAACAGATAGAGGATACAGGGAAACTTCACGAGGGAGCAAACGGGGGAGGTGACAGTGGCATTCAAAAATTATCTCAGCTTTATCTGCTGCTCCAAATAAATCAGTCCCTGCCCCTGATTTATACCTGCAGAGGATGTGAATGCCTCGACTACAGAAATATTTCATATGTGGCCCTTCTTATGTTCAACAGAACAAACAATAGCATTAAGAACTGCATCCATACAGACTGCATAGACCTGTATGGTTTAATACCTATCCTGTTTTAAACTTTGATTACTGGAATTAAAGTGCTTAGTATATTCAACACAATTGTGGACCTGGATTTTCACTGCCCACCAGCACTGGGGTATAATTTTAAACTTTTCATTACAACTATAAAACCTTGCAATACGTCTACCTAAGCAAGGAGAGGGAGGGAAGTGTGGTGTCAAAAGCACAACTCCTTAATTTTGTCCGTTACAAAATGAACAAACACAGAACACGATCCTTTCCCACGCATGCTGTTTTTCGAGCTGCTTCTCCGTCATTCACCCGGAACTGGAGAAAAAAGAAACCGCAAAAGGACTGCACCGCTTAAAACTTCCTCTCGACAGCAGAGAGGCAAACTTAACAAGCCTTCCCCCTCAAAATACCTCCCTGCTGCACCGTCAGACACACTGTGGCACAGCCCTTGCCCTGCTTCTGCACCCCAAAGACCATTTTCCAGCACTGGAGCTCCGTGCGCAGTGGGCGTGCGCGAAGGCATTCAGTCTGTTATCTTGCTCAGATAACGAGACTAACGGCTCTAGAACCTTCTAAGCAGCTGCCTTTAAATCAGGTCCTGCATCTGGCAGGGGACACCTGCCTCTGCTTCTGAGCCTCTGCTGCTTTTTTCTTCTCTTGCTCCTCTGCCTTCTTCCGCTCCTCTTTCAGCTCCTTGTATCTCCATTTGGGAATCTGCAAATAGGGGTCGTCCTTCGCACTGCTCCTCCTCCTCACCTGTTCTGGCTGGAAGGTGGGCGGAGGCGCCTTGATGATCCGGACTTTGGGGATGACAAATCCCGGCCTGACGCTGCTCCGTCTGAGCAGGTGGAGGGGCAGGAGGCTTGCTTTCCTGGCGCCCACGGGGTTCACCTGGGAGGCCGTCAGGCTGACGGGCTGCAGGCTGGCTCGCCGGTCCCTCTTCCTGGGGATCAGCGTGACTTTGGAGTGCTGAAATAGCTTCTCGTAGCTGCTGATGTGATCTTTGTCCCGCGATCGGATCTCCTCGGCCCTCTGCCTCCTCAGGATTTCTGGAACGGCCAGTCTGCGTTTCCCCACAGAAGGTGGGCTGCCTGGACACACGGTCCGGCACGACAGAGCAATGAAAGGGCTGCCCAAACTCGTTGTCACCTTCACCATGTGGTCGAGGACCCCCTCTTCTTCTGGGCCATAGAAAGACCGTAATGAGACAGCTGCCCTCATGCACTCGGAAATCCTCTGCAAACAGGTTTTTGGCTCTGCAGCCTTGGCAAGAAGTTCCTTCATCTTTGGCCATTCTGGATTAAATTGATCACAAAACTGCTCCGGGCATGGCTTGTCCATCAGCTTTCGCATGATGAAGGCGGATTCTGATCTTCCTGTGTAACAAGCCCACTCCCATGAAGTCAGTCCGCGGCTTGGGTCGGTCGCGTGAACATTTGCCCCTCAAAGAAAACAAAACCAATTAGCGTTACTTAATGAAACTGCCCACAGTTTTGTTGCTGTGGTCGGCGTTGAAACAGGCAGCTCCCTGCAGGAAAACGTCACCTACAACACACAACAATATCTGTGTCAAAACGAACATGCAGTAAGGAGAGATCAGGTTCCTGACTTTCCGAACTCCTGATCTATTCGAAACAAACAAACAAAAACCAAATCAAGGCTATATATATTAAATTCTATTAAAACAATGCAAAAAAAATGACTTTGAAATATCAAAATTCAAATCATGAATTTCAACTGCATTGAATGTTGCCTGCCATTTTAAAATCCATTCGCTCGAGCTGGCGAGAAAAGAGTGACGAATACAGAAACAAACAATTCTGTACACAAAAATCCTTCCCATACAGAATAACGGGCTTTGCAGTGATTGCTGCCACTCAGAAGAGAGATTTTGGGCTAATGATTGCAAGTTCCATGAAAATATTCACTCAGTGCTCACCAGGGGCAAAAATAGCAAATAAAATACAAGGAATTTGTAGAAAAGCATTCAAAAAGTAGACCAAAAAAAAAAAAAAAAAAAAAAAAAAAAAGAGAAACCACCAGGTATAAAATTCAGGTTCTCTTATCTCTGAAAGGACACCGTAGAGCTAGGCAAAGATGAGAGGATGGTGACAAGGGTGATCAAATATAAGGAAAGTTTCCAGACACAGCAGAGAGTGCATAATGGGCAAGAAGGAACTTCAGTCTGAGCCCAGAGCAGCTGTTCTCACCCACCTTAGATTATCAGCCCTGGGGAAATGAACTCATTGTTAGCAAAACCATGCTACTGTCGCCAAGTGGACCAGCCATAAGAGGCGACTGAGACACATGCTAGACAGCAGAGGCTTAGACAGTTAAAGTACAGTGTTATGTCCTGAAAAGAAATGATTTCTAGACCTTTCCTCCCCCCCATTCCCAATTTATGGTCTTTATACCTCCAGTTCTGGCACCAGTTCCTAATCACCATTCTTCCTTCTCATATATTTCTGCATCCTTTTCCAGCTTTGCCTTCCTTTTGATCTCTCCATGTTCCTATAAGCCCCCTCATATGGGATTTTGCCCTTCTCCTCTCTTTTGCGTGAGGTTACCCTCTTTTCCTCCAGAGCACTTGGCTGCCTGAAGAGAGGATCCAAGCGTAACAGGAGGAGCCAGCATCCTAGCCTGCTCTGCTGTGTCCTTTACAACTTCTGTAGTGACATATCCAATGCTGCCGCAATCCCTGGCCATCAGAAAATTGCAGGGAAGTCCTCTCAGTTCCGTTATTAGTGGGGGAGCACGGGCATTTGTCAGTGAGGATGGCATGTGCCTAGCTCTGCTCTCACAGAAGAGCTCTGCAAAGGACAGAGGAAGCTCAGTACAGAGTGCATCTTTGGAAGGGTTGCTGCAGAACAATGAGTAGCAACGAGTGGTTTTGGAAGCTGAAGTCAGCAAGACTGCCACAAATGCCCAACACGTTACAGCTGGCGAACGCTGAAGGGTACAAAAGATCGGTCCCAAAACTAACTTGGTGTCACCAATGAAAAAGAATACGAGAGACGTGTTGGACTGGACAGCCAGCATCGTATCCTCTGCACTGCACCCAAGTGACCCTGGACACGCTCCCCGGGCACACACATCTTGATGTTTTAGAGTATAGGGGTATGTGGGCAAATGAATGAAATCTGTAGAGGAGAACAAGCATGAGTGGATACTCGCTGGTTTCAGGCCATCACGTTCTTAAGCTGCAAATCCTTTGGTTTATATTCTGCCTTTAAACTTTGACTCATCTCAGAGGGAGTTTTGCTTGCTCCAGAATGTAGGCTTTGTTCAGCAGCTCTGCTGCACATTCCCTGGGACAGGCACCTTGCCCAGTTGCTTTCAACATAACTGGCCTCTTTAACATTCAGCTCTGGTTTACACGTATCACTGGCCCTGTAGATAATTTCTGGGTTTCTTGAAAGGGTTTCAAGATGGGATACGAATGGGCCGCAACATCTGACTTCTTGAAGGGCTTCTGTATCGCCCGAACCACCGTTTTGAAACAGCCAACACAAAACTGACCTACACAGATCTTGTCACAAAAGAACATTCTGCCCCATTGCTTTGGAAGAGGCTGATGTCCAGAGACCAAGACCTGCTGAAATAGGCCAGAGAAGTATCATGATAAAATTTGGGGGGTTTCCAGGTGGATTATCTTGGTGACAGTATTTCAAACTCACAAAAGGGGGACCAGATAGATATAAGGAATGCTAACCAGGAAGCAGTTTGCAACGGGTCCAGTACAACCTTCCCACAAAGGATGTGTTGTCGTTACAGAAAAACAGAAGAAAAAGGAAAACATGGGGAAAGTGACCGAAACCTCAGTTTCAGATGATTCCTAAGTCTCCGAGAAAATCCCTAAAAAGAGATTGCTAGAGACACAGACCAAGAGCAAATGTGGATGTAGACACCTTAAGCAAAAGATCTGGCTTCAGTTTAAGTGTAATTTAAGTGAAATTTGCAGAAAGGGCCACTCAGAGTGAAAGCACAGGGGCACTGCAGGGAGTCAAGCACAGGGCCCGGGCTGGAAGGCAGAGAGGAGGCAAAGAGCAGGGAGAGTTAATCAAATCAAAGAGTTCATTAGCTGTGGACTGAAGAAAGGATTCCAAGATCTCAAAGGCAGCAGAGTTTGACTTAAGTTCGTGACTGCAGAAGCTGCAGATAAACCAGTGAGGGGAGGAGCAAAGACGTACAAAGACATGTCCTCTTGCTCCACTAGCCTGTTTTTGAACCATCCTACCCCCCGAATCTCTCCCATCTCAAGCTAGCCTCTTGTCCTGGCCGCTTCTTAACACTTGCCTCGGTCTGCACTCCCTCCCACTAGAGCTGACTGGGAACACGGCAGGTTACATGGAAGTTGGTTCTTTGTTATGCACCTACCACGGGAAGAACGGTGGCTAAAGGATTTGCCCCCATCTATGCATTGTGATAAACGGTATGCTCTGCTAGTAAACCAGCAAGCGGTATAGACATCTGCTTACCATTACATTCAAGAAAAGGACAAGCCAGCTCTGTTAAACGGCGCAGCTGTGAGACCCTGGATCAGAGTTGTGCAAAAAGAGCTGTGTGAGAGAGCGCTCACTGGGGCCTCCCCGCTCTTGCTCAGGGGCTGCACTGAGGCTCAGCTGTGGCCCTCGCCCGAGTTTTGGTGCAGCTACGCCTGGGCCTGGCCACATGCCTTGCTGATTTGGACCCCGACCCACCGATTTAATTTCTTTTTTTTTGACTTCAGACTTACCTTGTCTCCATGGACTTACCTGGCAATCGCTGCCGTAGTGCCCGATCCTGGTTACTGTCACCAGTGCTGCTCCATTTCTTCGAGAAGCGCCTTTGTTGATGGGGCTAGTGCCTCTGTGTGCCTCGCTGCCACCCTTGGCTCACCTCTCTGAGGAGAAGCCCACTCCTGCTGCTCCCTGACAGATGCCTCCCCAGGTGTTTTGGAAGCTTTATCTCAGAAAACAATACTACCCAGTATTGAAATCCAGATCTTGCAACCGAAATTGATGCTGACTTTGTTCCTTGTGTCACAAAATCTCCTCTAAGGCATGATTTACTATAGTGGCATTGATTTTCTGTACAAATCAGGAGGCATTTCTGAACAAACTTGTCATTCAGCAGAATGCCTCATCTGGAAGAGACATGAATAGTCATGTCCCTTTTTAAATGTGATAGCAATCTTATTGAACCGTCATTTCAGTGTAAGTACAGCCTACAGGTTTTCTTTTAGGAAAACTGCATTTGCCAGTTGCCTTGATTTTCTTGCAAAAGTTGCCTTGAAGATCACCTTCAGCACAACTGATTTGAATACGCATGCCCCTTTGGGAAATCAATATCCTATTTGATTAAGAAGGTTTAATGCCCCTTGAGGTGCAAAACTGACTTCCTGAGTTTAAGGAGAGGGAGCGAAAGAGCTCGGGCGTGTTACCGACCTGTTTTATACACCGTCTCCAAAGCCCAGTCTCCAGATCCACAGCCACTCCGATGACTTGACTAAAGCAGCACCGAGTTTACACTGGAGATTGCAGCAGGGCTTGGCACATGAGCGACTAGCGGCATTTCTGTGCCCCCGCTCGGGCTGGCTCGCTTGCTGAACGCCTGGCAGCAGCCTGTGACAAACTGCCGAGGAGCGACTGGGATCCCCCCCCCCAACACCACCACCACCAGCAAGTTCCCATGTTCCAAAGACTCGCTTTGAAAGAGCAACGTTATGGCCAAGTGTCTCAGAGCGCCTTAATCTTGTAGCGGTTGACGTTGGCCACCCTCCAGGAACTCAAATCTTGGAAGGAGCAATCACCCTGACAATCTAGCTCCAACCATCTGTCACACGGTGCCATTACATCTTTCCCATTTGACTGTGTTAAATCCATGCTTAGGCAGCTAGAAAGGTGAGTTATTTTCCTTTACTTACCTCCTGCATTGCCATAAGTAGGTGCCCATCACCTAAGCCACTAAACAGAGACTGGGTTTGAAAACCTCCTGGCTGTAACTCTCTTCTAAAGACACATACCTGCTTTGTAGCTATGCAAGTAGACCCACAGCTGATTATGGGTGTTTTGCCCCTGCGTTTCCATGCATTCTTATTTTTTAACGTAGAATTTTGCTTTTTTATTTGTGAAATTGTTTTTTTCACCACATGTTTCAATAATTATTTCTTCCACCTCCTTCAGCAAACTATCACTTTATTGCCAGCAGCCACTCAGTATCCCTTAAAGCCTGAACTACTTCTAAATCCACTCTGAACGAGCAGCTCCCTCCTGCCCTACGTTTCACCAGACTGTACAGTGCTAAAAAGTAATCAGACATTAAAATGGGTGCAGGCAACTTCTCACACTTCCTTTGTGGCCCCTATTTTGAGCTGAAAATGTGAGGACCTGCAAAATACTCACCAAAACATGTAGATAAACTGCAATTTAGAATCACGGAGTATATTAACTCTACACTTCTTTAGCCAATGGATGATCTTTGGTATTCTCACCATCTCTGCTGCACCAACAGGACGATACAACTTTCTGTAGGTAAACCTGACACGGAGGCTAACAAGGTCATTTTCTGGCTGGCTAAAGGTTTGTTTTCCCCAGTATTCTGTTTTCTTATGAATCATGAAAACAAGAAGGTGGCTATTTAGATGCCTGAGGCAGCAACCGTATAGTGAAGTTTGAGATCAATACTTCTTGTACAAGAAGTAGAATAACAAGGACTGAGATATCTACAAAGATGGAAAGGTTGTGAAATAGCTTCTAGTGACCCAAACAAAAGGAACAAGCTTCCATCAGATCTCCAGTGATAATAAAAGAAAAGTCGTAAGTCCTTGGAACTGAAGTTTCATTTTAAGTGATAAATTATAATGGGCACTGGAAAATTCTGCACTAGCAATACAACATTGTGGCTAAAAGGTGCTGTGTGCTGGGACTGCTCCTGTAGAAGCTGTTGCCCCGGCGTCTCTCACCCTTTCGGGTTTCCTCTCCAGGACCCCTTCACCTCGTAGTGCCTACAGCTGCAGTCAAGAGCCAATAGCAAGAAACACGTTTCCTGTTCTCAGATGTGAAGAGAGGCGGGAGGGCAGAGATGGATCTGCTCACACCCTGTGCCATGACTCCCTCCTTGCAGCAGACACAGGCCTGCTGGTGCCCTGTTGCCCATAAACCTGGAGACCAAACTCAGATCCGTAGAGGGGTTAAAAAGAGAGGTTATTACCTATGTCACCAGATTTCCCACCAACGCCCACTGTGTGACATTAACTCTACACCCAACACTGCTAACAGGAGCCAGAGCCCCCAGAGCTCTCCAGTCCCTGCCCCACGGCCTGCCACGGTTGGAGGGAGAAGCAGAGGTCCCACCACCATCACGGACCCTTGCACCGTCACACCCCCAGAGCTGGCAGCAGGAGACCGGCGTGTCTTTCCCAGCTGTGTCATGAACTCCATTAACAACTCGTCTACAAATCTGGACGGTCACGCTCCCCAGACTCTCCTGGAGACAATGAATCTTATACTGAGAACTCCGCAGGCAAACTGAGCGCTCCTGCACCTGCAGCATGCGGCTTCACCACCTTGTCTATGACTTATTTAAAAGCTGCGCCCATTTCCAGGGAAGGCTGCATCACACCACTCAGAGTAAACACCCCAAGAGCCAGTTTTCTTCTTGGCGTTTGCCTGTGACTGTCTAGTAGTATTTACAGTTAGATGATGATGATGAAGCAACTTAGCATACCTGCCAACATCAAGGCTTTCACGCATTCAGTTCGGCCCTGCATCGCAGATTTCATCAGTGCTGTGAATCCGAAGACATTCCTCTTCTCAATATCAAGCCCAGGAAAATAGTTCAACAAATAGTTTGTAATCGTTATGTGCCCTTTAAAGAAATGAAAAAAGCAGAGAAGATATGTCACGGAGTTAAGGCACTGCGCCTCAAGGTTAAACCAAAAATTACTCCTACAGGCTTGATAACTGGAAGAATACAGATAATTAATAAGATCTCTTTTCCTTGTATCCTCTTCCACTCGTTGCAGTCATCTACCTTAGGGTTACGTGACACTGATTTGTGACCAGAGCGTCGGGATAGGAGCCTGGAAACCTGGGTTCCCACCTTCTCTCAAGTTGCTTTCCTCTCTGAAAAGTCAGTTTAAAGTAAGGGAATAACTGAAGACCAGAGGTGGTCACTCCGAGGTTGCAAGGGGCCTCAGTTTCTTGACTCGGTGAGTAGCACTGGAGAGGGAATTCCTGAAGCTTATGGAAGGAAGGGCCATCGCCGGGGGGAACTGTCTGCAAAGGTGCAGAATTTTCCCTCCCCTGTTAAATTTGAGCCTTACAATCATGGCGCTTCATTAGAAAGTGATTACACATGGTAGTTCCAGACAATAATACTAATGAACCGTGCCAGGCCTGATAGGAGACAAAGGAATATTTTGTGTAGAATCCCACATTTTGATTTTTCCATCTGACAGTGTAAAGACACTTGTCTACTCTCCAGCAATAGGAAAATGGGGCCGCTGTTCAGTTTTGGTGGCGAAATAAATGACTTAAGTTCTGCTTCTGAAAGTAACTGTTGTTGCAATTCATGTGCCTCGTACGCCAGGATAACTGGTGTCAGCAAGGGCACACCGAGTACTTGAAGACATCTCTGGCTAAATGGTTGGAAGACCAATTAAAACATCAAATCTTTATAGCTGGACTATCAGAACAAGATGAATATCTAGTGCCATTATGACTCATTCAAAACAGTTTTCCCTTCACTTGTCATTCATTTTATGATGCTTTGATGCTTTATAAAATAATGCAGTCTGTCAGGCAGCTGCAACAATCACAATTTAATTACTGGGAGCTGTAAAAATACTCTCTCATCTCACTCTGCAGTCCAGCTGAATATTTTGTGATGCATGTCGTTCAAATTCATCTAGAAATGTTACTGAAGCAGATTGTAATTCATACAGGACAATTTAAAAAGTCTATAGTGTCACATCTGGTGCAGATTTCATCAGCAGTCGCTTTGTACCAACACATAACTGCATTCACTTTGGAAAGCAAGTTAAGAAAATCTTTACCGATTAATTTAAGATGTTTTCTAGGTGTTACTCTGTATCTCCTAGAATTTGCTGGACTCTGCTACCTTGCTGTGTAACTGGAAACTCTCCTGAAACCTGAGCAGATGTAGAGATAGCGCAGATCAGTTTAGCAACACCAGAGTCAGAGAAAACCAAATAAGGAGCTCCCTGTACCTCGTGCATTCTAATGCAAATGAAATACAAAGATACGGCAAACTGCAGCGAGCTGAACAAAGCAAAAGTGAACTGAGGTGAGGGCAGGATCAAGTGACCCAGGCCTGCTTACTTAACACAGAGGCTTCAGCTTCACTGACTTTATGGCATAAAATCAAATCCTGGCAGAGTATCAGTTACTACCGGGAGAATCTTTGTGCCCAAATTGTTTTTCAGGACGTGCTCTTCTTGAAGGTTTTGGAACAGGTGAAATACTGCTTTTTTTGACTTCCGAAACCAGAGATGGGAACTGAAACAAGGAGAAATAATAAGATGGAAGATTTTTCGGCAGTTATTACATTACTAAAGATGGTCTTCCCTTTGCCAAAAGCATAGCTGCAGTAAGAGACGTTTTGCAAATCTAGGACAATCCTAAGAGTCAATCCTGAAAGGCCTTAGCCAAACTCTCCAGGGGACTACAGAGAGCCTCAAAATGAGACAGAAAAAATACCGGCAATAACATAACAAAGGAAGTGAAGAGGTTTGTGACTCTAATTCCTGCAAACCACTCCAGTGTTAATCTGCAGGAGCTTCTGCCCTCTGAGGTTTGCTTCAAATTTCTAGTTCAAACCAGATATCAAATTCAAAGCAAAACTCAGAGCTGCCAAGTTTTTGTTCAAGCCCTGTCATACACTTTGATTTAAGGCCATAAAGTTTGCTTCAGTTCTCCGGTGTCTGGGTGAACTAGAACCCCGTATCTAAATAGCAAATCAGGTCAGTCTTCCATGATTTAAAGTCTGCTATGAAAGCTGCATGCAGCTCTCAAATAAATTAGCCTGGCCTCAGCCTGTTTGGTGATACTGAATTCGTATCAGGCTCTTGCTGTTTGTAAGCCAGACCTATCTTCCACCAGAACTGGCATGCTAAGGGTACACTTCTTCACCCTGTGAACTATATTTAGAGATCAGCACAGATGTCTGTAATAGCTTAATTCACTTAATTGCTGCCACAGAGAAAATGCCTGTAATGATGACAATATTACCTAATAATCTGTGTAATACAGGCAGAAGGATTAGCTGCATAATAAGGAAGATGATCTGGCAGACAACATCACAATTTTGAATTGTACCTGCAAAAAGCCTGTGTTTGGTCTAAGGGTGGTGAATGCTTTCTGGTGGATGGATGGAACTGAAGACACCCAGAACCTTTTATCCCCTGGATGCTTTCAGTGTTTGTGTTCTCGTGCCTCCCTTATTAAACAGGACCTAGGATAACTTCTGATTTTGCGTTCCCAGCTCTACAGCTTTGCCCCAGACTGGTCCCTGTAACATAAAACATCTAAACTCTGTGAGCAAATATGGCTCTCTAAACACCAGTGTATGCCAATTACCATATGCTGCCACCCATGTAGCTATGTGCTCAGCAGCAGCAGAACTGAGAAAAAAAAATGTTTAATGTAATTTTCCTCCCTTTTCCCTTTTATTGAAACCACTCTCCTTCCTTCCTTTCTTTCCACTAGTTATTTCAGTCTCTCGTTTGCATCAATCTCCCATTTTTTTCTGCATTCTCCTTGTACTGCTGTTTAATGATTTTGCTTCTGCTTTAACAGCATCACTACCCGTTTCTGGGCACCACCTGCTGCAGGCTGCAACAAATTCCGTTTCGGAAGGCAAGATCTCTTTGAGAAGGGATCCCACCTCTGTAAAAAATACTGAGAGAGCAAGTGAAGAGACCAACTTTCAAACCTGAAACTTGCACACTAAGCAGAGCTCTTTGTGGTTATTTTTCTATACTAACAAGCTTGTTAAGAAAGTACTGCTTTTCACTGACCCTTCCAGCCTATCTTTCTCAGCCCGTGCAAAAAAACTTCAACTTTAGATACTTTCTTTGAAGGCGAGAATCTTAAATTATCAAAAGCAATATAAGGAACTGAATTCACTGATCTTCTGAGACTCTAGCTGGGTCTTTAAGAAAATTCTATTTAATGCAAGCTGATGCCCAGCTTTGAGCATCGTGTCTGGGCAGTTATGAAGTGGCATAGGCACGTGTAGATTTTAAACTCCTCTAGCAAAAGTAAACAGGCCTCCCTGTCACCTCCCTCAGTCTCTGTACCTCGTGTTAACGATGCAGCCTCTGAAACACAAGGAACGATCCATCGGGACCTCAGCCTCTTTCCCAGCCAGCTCCTCCTCAGGGTCTGGCCATATGTGATGGACCCACCTGGTCAGCAGTTTGTAACAAAAATGGCAGCGCTTTCTGAAACCTTCTGATATCACCTTATAATTAACTGAAATAATGTGGATTTGCTATTGGACTCTCCACAGAAAAACACATACTTTCTGTATAAATAACAACGATCTCTCAGAATAATTTATTTTGCAAAAATATTATTCTTTTCATGGCCAAAAGTTTTTTTTAAAAACAAACAAACAAACAAACAAACAAATAAATCCTCTACTAAATGAAAGCTTGCATAAGCTTTGCTTTCAGTTCTTTATAATACACTGCTCAGTGTTACTACTTAACGTTCAGCAATAATTAAGCAGCATCTATTGCACTCTAGCTCCTCTGGTTGCAATGTTAACCTCACAGTAATCTCTATTAACACTACAGCAGTATCTTGTGATAATGAATTAAATAACTGGTGTCAATGCTGTAGCTCAGGATTATCATAGTCAGGGGAAACATCCAAGTGTTAAGAATTTGTATAAGCTTCCGCTGACTACAGTAATTTCCAGTTGCTTTGGGGATCAATAGCAAGTACTGGCAGAGAGTGTTGAGTCAATGTCAGCCCTCTGGATTAATCCTGAGCTCATTATCATGAGTTATAAAGGTCAGCAAGGAGTCAGTGTTAAACCTTTTACAGCCCAAATTTATATTAGAGCGGATAAATAAAAGTAGTTTAGAGTTTTGGAGACTTACTCCACTTTCTTTAGAAAGCTACTGTACTCGTGACTTTGCTATGAGCATGGCTACTGTGGTTGCAATTCTGTCTTCCAGTATACAAAGCTTATCCCGCAGTGACTTCTTTAGCAGAGTTCACTTTTTGGCACAACACAAAGCAAAGTTTGGTACTTTGGAAATGCCTAGTGGCAATACTACAAAGTTAACATCAGAGGAACTGGCCCAATCTTTAGATGTGGCTTGTAATGTCCATTGACGTTGCCTGATGGAAATTTGTTTTCCCCAGCCAGCCTGGGTCTGGGAGAGAACGTTGTGTCCCATCAACTCCCACCAACATCCCATATTCTTCACCACTGAGCAGATATGGTCAGAAAGAGCAGGCATGCATTGCCTCGTAAAGTGATTGCCCTTGAGGAGCGTGCTTGAGGCATGCAAAGGAAACGGTGGATGCGGAGCCAGGCAGCCCTTGGAACAGCCTGTAGACTACAAAGTGATGACCTCCTTGGTCAAATCTTTCCTGATCTACCTACTTCAGCATTTTGTTAACCCTTGTAAGAGAAAACTACAGCTTCCCTTAAAGCACGGTGTTTCAGTCTTAACAGGAATAATCAACTGATCGCTTTTTAACTGTACACTTGAAGCTAGTAACTCTTTAGGAGCATCTCTTACATTTACGTGATCTGTTACATTTGTTCATTGGATATTACCATGCTGCTGGAGATAAAAGGAAACCTGGGGATAAACTCAGCTCTGGCTCCAGCCTGCATCAGGATTAACATGGTCGATGTCAATATAATCAATCTGCTATAAAAGCAGCATTGGCAAACACTGAATCCTGCAGAGACTGTGTAAATGGGTTTGGTTTTTTTTTTTTTTTGGCTTTAACTATGGAGTGGTTGAAGAATGTTTTACCAGCTAAGATATTTCTTAATGGTGATACATTTTCCTGTAGTCAGCAATTACTACAGACCCACTGAGGTAGGTGCAACAAGCATGTGAAGAGAGATGCTATCAGCACTAATACAGCACGTTACATGACCACAATGTTGACTGGTTGCTTGCCAGAGCAAACATAGGAAAATATGCTTAAAGGACCAAAGCAATATAGTACTGCACCCCTGGGGCAAGATTTTTTTTTTAAGTTCAAATAGTTAGTGGCATCTACTAGAAACATATAGCTTTTTCTGTCTTAATTCATTGGATAAACATTACTGTTGATTAATTAGTTTAAAGAAAATCATGACAAACTTACTTGGGAGTGGATTTGGCCAGGATTATTTTGTGCAGACCAATTTCTTCTAGGACTTTTTGAAAAAAAAAAATCCTAAAAATAATAGCCACAACACACACTCCTCCTACAATGCTGTATGGAGAGGTGAACCAAAGAGCCTTTCCTTACCTGCCTGTGCAGCTGTAATTAGAGCCGTGTTCCCTTCGTTGTCCTGCCAGTTCACATCAAGGTGAGGGCATTGTGCTAAGGCTATTACAATATCCACATAACCTTGGTAACAGGCAACAATAAGACCGTTCTGTAAGTAAAATATAAAGAGAGAGTTAGGTTTACCAGACTCAGAAAAGTTCACTGAAGAAGCATACTAGTCTGCTTTTTTTTTTTTTTTTTTTTTTTTTTTTTTCTCCCAACTGAAGAACTGAAAAGGTATCAGCATAACTAGTGATTAGCTCCGGGCACGATGTTCAGATCTGAAACACTGCTTTTTATCTCTGCCCTTCGGCGAGTAACATTTGGTATTCCTCAGAAATACCTAAGAGAGTGGGTATTATATTATGCTACTTGGAAAGTAACTGTTTATAAATGGCTTGTGCTTATATGGCTATATGCTCTATATCCAAATGAGAATAAATCAGATTTTATTATGTAATAAATTGAACTCGGCAGGTAAGATGAACTGGACCTGCTCTGAATATTAATTCTCTGAAAAAGAACTACTTGCTTTCCGAAGGGGAAGTGGTGGGCAGGAGTGGTGTTCATACTGCCTGTTGCTATCTTTAAATACTTCAGGTTTCCTGTTAGAACTAACCTTTTTTTTTTATAACCATAAATAAAACAAAATCGCTTTCAGAGTTCCTGTTTAGTGTGCCTTATAACGGCTGGAAGCTGTAAAACTTCCAAGAGGAAGCCAAGCCAGGAGGCAAACCTTATAACGCCGCTTGATACCCAGATAGCGTTTCACCAACTGACGCTTCCCTAAAATATTAGGGGATTTTTAGCTTCCCTAAAATACAGCAAAATGCACTCGCCATTAATTGAATGGAACTACTGTACTTAATCCTGGCCGCTCACTTGACCCCAAGGATTGAAACCGTTATCTCCGGCGTTCGGGATCGCCCGGGCAGCCCGGCGTTGAGCCGCAGGGGGCCGGCGCGGGCAGATGGGCGCTCCCCGCGCTCCCTCTTCGCTGCCAACGCACCACTCGCTTCTCCCCAGCTCACCACTCGTTTCTCCCCAGCTCACCACTCGCTTCTCCCCAGCTCACCACTCATTTCTCCCCAGCTCGCCACTCGCTTCTCCCCAACTCGCCACTCGCTTGTCCCCAGCTCGCCACTCGTTTCTCCCCAACTCGCCACTCGCTTCTCCCCAACCCGCCACTCACTTCTCCCCAGCTCACCACTCGCTTCTCCCCAACTCACCACTCGCTTCTCCCCAGCTCGCCACTCGCTTCTCCCCAGCTCACCACTCACTTCTCCCCAACTCACCACTCGTTTCTCCCCAGCTCACCACTCGCTTCTCCCCAGCTCACCACTCGTTTCTCCCCAGCTCACCACTCGCTTGTCCCCAGCTCACCACTCGTTTCTCCCCAGCTCACCACTCGTTTCTCCCCAGTTCACCACTCGTTTCTCCCCAGCTCACCACTCGTTTCTCCCCAGCTCGCCACTCGCTTCTCCCCAGCTCACCACTCACTTCTCCCCAGCTCACCACTCGCTTCTCCCCAGCTCACCACTCGCTTCTCCCCAGCTCACCACTCGCTTCTCCCCAGCTCACCACTCGTTTCTCCCCAGCTCACCACTCGTTTCTCCCCAGTTCACCACTCGTTTCTCCCCAGCTCGCCACTCGCTTCTCCCCAGCTCGCCACTCGTTTCTCCCCAACTCGCCACTCGCTTCTCCCCAGCTCGCCACTCGCTTCTCCCCAGCTCACCACTCACTTCTCCCCAGCTCGCCACTCGTTTCTCCCCAACTCGCCACTCGCTTCTCCCCAGCTCACCACTCGTTTCTCCCCAGCTCGCCACTCACTTCTCTCCAGCTCGCCACTCGTTTCTCCCCAACTCGCCACTCACTTCTCCCCAACTCACCACTCGTTTCTCCCCAGCTCACCACTCACTTCTCCCCAGCTCACCACTCGCTTCTCCCCAACTCACCACTCGTTTCTCCCCAGCTCACCACTCGCTTCTCCCCAGCTCACCACTCGTTTCTCCCCAGCTCACCACTCGCTTGTCCCCAGCTCACCACTCGTTTCTCCCCAGCTCACCACTCGCTTCTCCCCAACTCACCACTCGTTTCTCCCCAGCTCACCACTCGCTTGTCCCCAGCTCACCACTCGTTTCTCCCCAGCTCGCCACTCACTTCTCCCCAGCTCGCCACTCGTTTCTCCCCAACTCGCCACTCACTTCTCCCCAACTCACCACTCGTTTCTCCCCAGCTCACCACTCGCTTCTCCCCAACTCACCACTCGTTTCTCCCCAGCTCACCACTCGCTTCTCCCCAGCTCACCACTCGCTTCTCCCCAACTCGCCACTCGCTTCTCCCCAGCTCACCACTCGTTTCTCCCCAGCTCACCACTCGTTTCTCCTCAGCTCACCACTCGCTTCTCCCCAGCTCACCACTCGCTTCTCCCCAGCTCACCACTCGTTTCTCCCCAGCTCACCACTCGCTTGTCCCCAGCTCACCACTCGCTTGTCCCCAGCTCACCACTCGTTTCTCCCCAGTTCACCACTCGTTTCTCCCCAGCTCACCACTCGCTTCTCCCCAGCTCACCACTCGCTTCTCCCCAGCTCACCACTCGCTTCTCCCCAGCTCACCACTCGTTTCTCCCCAGCTCACCACTCGTTTCTCCCCAGTTCACCACTCGTTTCTCCCCAGCTCGCCACTCGCTTCTCCCCAGCTCGCCACTCGTTTCTCCCCAACTCGCCACTCGCTTCTCCCCAACTCGCCACTCGCTTCTCCCCAGCTCGCCACTCACTTCTCCCCAGCTCACCACTCGTTTCTCCCCAGCTCGCCACTCACTTCTCCCCAGCTCGCCACTCGTTTCTCCCCAACTCGCCACTCACTTCTCCCCAACTCACCACTCGTTTCTCCCCAGCTCACCACTCACTTCTCCCCAGCTCACCACTCGCTTCTCCCCAACTCACCACTCGTTTCTCCCCAGCTCACCACTCGCTTCTCCCCAGCTCACCACTCGTTTCTCCCCAGCTCACCACTCGCTTGTCCCCAGCTCACCACTCGTTTCTCCCCAGCTCACCACTCGTTTCTCCCCAGTTCACCACTCGTTTCTCCCCAGCTCACCACTCGCTTCTCCCCAGCTCACCACTCACTTCTCCCCAGCTCACCACTCGCTTCTCCCCAGCTCACCACTCGCTTCTCCCCAGCTCACCACTCGCTTCTCCCCAGCTCACCACTCGTTTCTCCCCAGCTCACCACTCGTTTCTCCCCAGCTCACCACTCGTTTCTCCCCAGCTCGCCACTCGCTTCTCCCCAGCTCGCCACTCGTTTCTCCCCAACTCGCCACTCGCTTCTCCCCAACTCGCCACTCGCTTCTCCCCAGCTCGCCACTCACTTCTCCCCAGCTCACCACTCGTTTCTCCCCAGCTCGCCACTCACTTCTCCCCAGCTCGCCACTCGTTTCTCCCCAACTCGCCACTCACTTCTCCCCAACTCACCACTCGTTTCTCCCCAGCTCACCACTCGCTTCTCCCCAGCTCACCACTCACTTCTCCCCAGCTCGCCACTCGCTTCTCCCCAACTCGCCACTCGCTTCTCCCCAGCTCACCACTCGCTTCTCCCCAACTCACCACTCGTTTCTCCCCAGCTCACCACTCGCTTCTCCCCAACTCGCCACTCGCTTCTCCCCAGCTCACCACTCGCTTCTCCCCAGCTCACCACTCGTTTCTCCCCAGCTCACCACTCGTTTCTCCCCAGTTCACCACTCGTTTCTCCCCAGCTCACCACTCGCTTCTCCCCAGCTCACCACTCGCTTCTCCCCAGCTCACCACTCGCTTCTCCCCAGCTCACCACTCGCTTCTCCCCAGCTCACCACTCGCTTCTCCCCAGCTCACCACTCGTTTCTCCCCAACTCACCACTCACTTCTCCCCAGCTCGCCACTCGTTTCTCCCCAGCTCACCACTCGCTTCTCCCCAGCTCACCACTCGTTTCTCCCCAGCTCACCACTCGCTTCTCCCCAGCTCACCACTCATTTCTCCCCAGCTCACCACTCGTTTCTCCCCAGTTCACCACTCGTTTCTCCCCAGCTCACCACTCGCTTCTCCCCAGCTCACCACTCACTTCTCCCCAGCTCACCACTCGCTTCTCCCCAGCTCACCACTCGTTTCTCCCCAGCTCACCACTCGCTTCTCCCCAGCTCACCACTCGTTTCTCCCCAGCTCACCACTCGCTTCTCCCCAGCTCACCACTCGCTTCTCCCCAGCTCGCCACTCGTTTCTCCCCAGCTCGCCACTCGCTTCTCCCCAGCTCACCACTCGCTTCTCCCCAGCTCACCACTCGTTTCTCCCCAGCTCACCACTCGTTTCTCCCCAGCTCACCACTCGTTTCTCCCCAGCTCACCACTCGCTTCTCCCCAGCTCACCACTCGTTTCTCCCCAGCTCACCACTCGCTTCTCCCCAGCTCGCCACTCGCTTCTCCCCAACTCGCCACTCGCTTCTCCCCAACTCACCACTCGTTTCTCCCCAGCTCACCACTCGCTTCTCCCCAGCTCACCACTCGCTTCTCCCCAGCTCACCACTCGTTTCTCCCCAACTCACCACTCGCTTCTCCCCAGCTCACCACTCGTTTCTCCCCAGCTCACCACTCGCTTCTCCCCAACTCGCCACTCCCTTCTCCCCAGCTCGCCACTCGTTTCTCCCCAGCTCACCACTCGCTTCTCCCCAGCTCACCACTCGTTTCTCCCCAGCTCACCACTCGCTTGTCCCCAGCTCACCACTCATTTCTCCCCAGCTCACCACTCGTTTCTCCCCAGTTCACCACTCGTTTCTCCCCAGCTCACCACTCGCTTCTCCCCAGCTCACCACTCGCTTCTCCCCAGCTCACCACTCGCTTCTCCCCAGCTCACCACTCGTTTCTCCCCAGCTCACCACTCGCTTCTCCCCAGCTCACCACTCGTTTCTCCCCAGCTCACCACTCGCTTCTCCCCAGCTCACCACTCGCTTCTCCCCAGCTCGCCACTCGTTTCTCCCCAGCTCGCCACTCGTTTCTCCCCAGCTCACCACTCGCTTCTCCCCAGCTCACCACTCGTTTCTCCCCAGCTCACCACTCGTTTCTCCCCAGCTCACCACTCGTT